AGCTGAGGAGAGTTCCAAGCAAAGTGTTGGAGGCATAGCCTGGCATCTTATTGCTGCTTGTACAACAAAGGAGAGAAAGAGATAGACCGAGGAACAAATACGTAATCTTAATGGAATCAGGACTTGGTGAAATGGAAAATTCTCAGCCTACTAAAATGGCAAGGGATGCTACATTTAAGAAACTTATTCATTGCAAAACATATTCTAGAGGAAAATATTGAGGGTGTGGTTGTACAAACTTCTGTCAGTATCTCAGAAAGTTAGAGGTAACTTACAAATGACCACAGGCCTAGTGATCTAAACAACACAAATGTATTATCTTACAGTTCTGAAGGTCCAAAGTCTGACATGGGGGTCACTGGGCTAAAATTGAAGTGTCAGCAGGGCTGCCATCCTTTCTGGAGGCTCTAGGAGACAATCTTTTTCTTGCATTTTCCCTCTTCCAGAGGCTTCTCACATTCCTGTTTTTACGGCCCCCTTTCTCATCTCCTCAACAGTAGCTTCACATCTCTCTGTCCTCTCTCCTGTAGTCATGTCTCTCTCAGAGTGAGTCTTTTTAAGACTCTTCACGATCGGCTGGACCCACCAGGATAATCCAGGATAATCTCCCCATTTTAAGGTCAATTCAGTAGCAGCCTTAATTCTATCTGCAGTCCTAATTCCTCTTTGCTGTGTAACATGACATATTCACAGGTATGGGGATTGGATATCTTGGAGGGGCCCTTATTTTGCCTACCACACAGTCATTATCCTTGGTCGACATATGAGGACATTCGACTTCTGAGAGATACAGTACTTGTAAAGGGCTGTTACACTCAAGCCTGGATCTCATAGCTCTAAATTCTGTGGGGTTTTGCCACCTCTATATTGTTTTGCCATTAACTGTCATCATTAGAGCTGAAATCGTGATTACAAATTCTCATAACTAAATAGAAATATGAGGAGCCCATGAAGCCAGTGAATGCAATATGATTGCTAACATTCTCTTAATGATGGAGTAGCTATTACATTTTTCCTGTTTCATTTAATGCGTATCGTGATTATAGTTTTATCATAAAAACACAATTTAAAGGCCACATTATTGTCTTTGTTTCACATTACTCCCACTGGTTTATGTGCATTTTTCTCCTAAAAGGAGATCAATGTGCATTATTATAAACTTTATGCTTCCGGGTAGGCATTATTTGTCAAATTTTCATTTCATTCTCTTTGGCACTACATCTACAGACGGAGCTTCTAAGCTTGCTTTTGAGTCAGAGGGCATTATGAAATTCTCAAAGCAAATTTAATTTACTTTCATGTTCAAAGTAAGTATGTACAGTGCCATGCCTTTAGAAGTGGAAGTTGTTGTAAAGCTGAACAATGGCAAGGCAGATAAAATGCCAGAAGAGTTAGCAAATGGCCTGTGACCAAAGAACATATTACATTTGAATACTGTGGCCAGGAAAGGGTAAGGAAGGGGAGCCAGCATTTATTGAGAGCCTTTGTCCCAGGGCACTTGGCCTTGTGCTTGCACACTGAAGGCCAAGGAAATTCTGAAATGATTTAATTAATTCATTACTCTTAAGTAATTAAAATTAAATTGTTGAGGAATATTTTTAAAGTGGTGCTGGTCTGGGGACCTCCACGGGATCTTGTTCCTGGCTTATTTCCTGAAGGTTCATGGGAGAGAGAGGAATGCGCTGAATAGAAGCGCCACCAAACCACACCCTGAGGCTTAGAGGGGCAGGACAGGGAGCAGACAGGTCCTGAGTAACTGAGTAAACCTAGAGATGGCCACGCCGCGATCCCTTCTCCTCCATTCTCCTCTTGGGATCTTGGGCATGTACACACACGCACCCGGCGTGAGTTTAAGTCACTGGGTCTGGGACTCGAACTACGGTCGATTACATAGGAGTCCAGTGACGTAGTTATTATGCCAACTGCTGGTCCCCCTTTCCTTCCTTTTTATAAAGTTTCCTTCTTTCATGAAGGAGAAAGGTGCCCCCACCATGATCCTCACATTGTGACCCACCCCCAGCCACAGCCAGCCAGAATCACAGGGACGTCTGATAGAACACAGTTCTTAACTTCTCTATGCCACAACTTTCTCAGCTGTGAAATGGGCAATTAGAGGATTTATTTTACAGAATTATCATGAGAAGTAAATGAATACATGAAAAGTGACTTGGTGTTGTGCCTGGAAACAGAAGTGCATACTTGTTAGCTTTTATTTTGATTATTATAGGACCTTTTCTGAAGATTTGGTATCAGAAATTTTAGACATAGATTTCCCTTCCACTTCTTAACCTCATTTTTTCTGACCTAGCTATTAAGTATCTAACCTTTGAACTATGGTCATGATTCATGAGTACAGATGATGTGATCAAATAAATGTTTTGAGCTAAAGAAACATATTCTGAAAACGTTATAATCTGACTTACGTAATGCTGCATGAATTGAACAGTAAGCCTATTTTTTACTCAGTGAATAAAGACATAAATATGTGAGAAGAACAGAAATGAAAACAGTATATGGGCAAACTGAAATCCTGTAGATATTTCTGATAATTAGGACTGAGCAAAACAGGAATCCTAACATACACTCATTTGTTCTTTTAAATTCTGCCTGTAGGGCTGACCACATAGTAGAGTGCTTGAGGGAACCGGATCCAACATGGCTGACCATGGTTCCACTCTCAGCCCTGTGGGCTTGAAAAACATGCTGGGCCTGTGAGTGTGCATGCCACAGATTTGGGGATGGAGAAATGGAGAAGGGATTGCGGCATAACCATACCCCGCTGAGGAGTGCTTTCTCCTTTTCCCTTTCTCTGGCTGTCTTTCTCCAGTGAGCGTGCATGCTCTCTGGCAATAGAAATAAATAAATATTGCCTGTGGATTTTAGACCTGCAAAGCTATAATCACATGCAGAAATCATGGCATGCTCTTTGGAAAACATGTAAACATGTCAGTGCAGCAAAAAAGAGACACACAGGCTGGGACTCTAGGGTTGACCAGATGTGGATTGTTTTCGTATTGGAGAGATCAGGCACCAAACCACACGAGACAAGAACTGTACCTGCAGCTCGTGGGAGCAGGCACCTACATGATATTAGGCAGCTCTTGTCTTATATTCCCTGGTAAGAACAATAATTCTAACAACATTAAGAAAATCTAAAAAAAAAAAAAAAAAAAAAAAAATTGAGGCCTGCCATCTCATGGCAGTGAGGAGCCAGATAAGATCAGCATGTAGGCTTGAAGTGTCTCTTTTGCAGCTGGTCCTCTCACACCGTTTAGCTCAACAGTGATGACTTTGGCATCTCACAAACCAACCTCAGTTCCTATCTACCCTTCGTAGGACTGTTCAGTTCTGAAAGAAAAGGGAGGAAGGAAGGATGGTTGAGCCATCTTGGCCTCAAGCTCAGTGTCAGGACACAAGCCACAGAGAAGTAGGGCTGTGTGTTTTGGTGGCGATCTCATGACCTCATTCATTCATCCACTGCACAGATCATTGAGTATGGAAGTGTGTGAGGGGTAGTGATGAACAAGGCAAACCCCTGCCTGCCTTGAGCTGACAGCAGAGCAGAATCAAGAGGTCCCCTTGATGTGCTATGCATGAAAGCAGATGCCTCCTAGAGACTTAGTGATAAAAGAGGGAGGAGACACACAAAATAAAAGTAAAGATAGCAAGGCAGGAGGAAGGAGTTCCTGGCTCCTTTTTTTTTTCTCTGATCCAGAGTGTCAGAGCTGGGGTAGTGTTAGGGGCAGGAGAGGGAAAAGAAGAGAACCATGCAAGACTTTTGCTCCCCAAGGTGCAGTGGGGTGAGCTGTGCTGGCCGGCACTGGGCAGTCTCCATAAATGCTACACAGTAGGCAGAGCTCAAGCTTTTCAGGGAGCTCTCACACTCCCCCCTCTGCGTCTTCTGAGTTTTCTTCTTTCTTGTTTCTCTTCCTCTGGTTGTCTATTTTCTTTCCTTCATTCTTCTTTCTTGCTTTCTGTCTCATCACTCTCTTATTGCCAAAGGGTGCATTGTGCTTGCCAGAGAAAGAAAGCCCTCCCCATCCCCGCAAACAGAGTGCAATTTCATCACAATGCTTTTTCCTCTAACTCCCCATCCCATCAGGATTTGGGGTATGTACCCATGTGTGCCTGCTGTGTGTGTGTGTGTGTTTTCTTTTGGAGAGATTTTTCACTATAGGGCGCGTGCGCTCGCCAGACAGACAGAGAGAGACATAGAGACAGAAAGCGAGAAATCACCCCCCAGGGGGGATGGTCACGCCGCAATCCCTTCTCCTCCATTCTCCTCTCGGGATCTTGGGCACGCGCGCACACGCGCCCGGCGTGAGTTTTAAGCCACCGGGTCCAGGACGCGAACTGCAGTTGACTACGTGGGAGTCCAGTGACATAGCCATTATGCTAACTGCTGGTTCCCCCTGGTGTGTTTTTTAAGCTACTGAGCTGGGATTCAAACCATGGTTGGCCATGTGGGATCTGGCTCCCAAATCTATAGTACTTAACCACTGCACTATGGGGCCAGTCCCCCACTCTTATCTCTTTGGTCTTCATTCTCTTTCATTTTTTCTTTCTTTTCTATTCTTTTTACTTCATTTTTCCCATCTTTCCCTTTTGTTCATTAAAGGGAAAAAAAATCTCCTACCTTTCTCTTATAATCTGTATTACTTCCCTTTTTCTTTTTTTTTTCTCCCATCTTTTTTATTATTCACTTCTGTTCTTTGTTCCTCACTCCTCTCCTCTCTTTCATACAGCTGTGTTACTGCCGGGTAATGTGTTGGTCAAAGGCTTGCAGTTCCCTTCTCTACCCATCTGCATACACACTGATCTATCCAGTCTGGTTCTGGGGAAAGTGTAACTGTGTAACTCAGCCTTATTTTGTTCCTTGATGGTGTGCCATTGACCTTGGATTGAGAAATGAAGACTTTCACACAGGTGAAACCGAGTCTGGAAAACATAGCTCCGAGTACTTTGGTTACGTGTATTCAACATAATTCTCCCTTTTCTAGTCCCTGCCTTTATAACTACCTCTGCATTCAACAAGGAGAGAACAAGACAAGCTGCATCTCCGCAGTGGTCCAAACACACAGAAGATGCCGGGTAATTTGGTGATTTAAAAAACAAAATGCATTATGCTTTTCCAGTTATACAGTCATGTCTTTCCAAAGGGTCAACTTGATTTGACTGTTTTCTTCTCTGATTGTTCACTGACTTTGGGTAACATGTGACTCTTCACCACAGCATTGGGAAAGTACTTGTCACCTCCCTGCTTTGTGTGGCTATAAAGATTTATCTGCCTTTGAGGTCTGATCTCCAAGAAGAAACTACTTTTAAAAATTTTTGCCAGAGGGCACATGTACTGTCAGAGAAAGACAGAAAGAGGGACAGAGACAGAGAGAGAGGGAGAGGGAGAGGGAGGAAGCACCCCTAATGGGGCATGGTCATGCTGCCATCCCTTCTCCATTTCTCCATCCAGTAAGGATTTGAGGCATGCATGCACTTGCATCTGGAGTGTTTTGCAAGCCAGTAGGTCTGGGATTCAAACCACACAGTTGGCCATGTGGTATCTGGTTGCCTTAGCCACCCTGCCACCCTGTTACTAGGTGGCCTCAACTTCCAGGGTTTTTCCTATGTTTTGTTTCCCTGAAGAATTAAAAAATCGTCTGCTTTTGGGTATATGATTCTAAAATATTTACTCATGTCTTCCCAAGGCTTTCCCTGGGCTCTTCAGAATCTAGTCATATGGTTCTCCTCAGCTCTGTGTAAGGTGACACTGACTCTACCACAGGAAAACCTGTCTTGGTTTCCCATTTGCTTTCATCTGTGATGCCCAATACTGCGCTGAGGCTTGACTTCACATCTAAACTCATCATCATTCTGAAAAGGGAGTGTAGGG